TCTTTTCAGTAACAGGAAAATTCTCAGCATGTAACATTTTAAAATCAAACAGCCTCTGCTCTGTTAAATTTATTAGTAGAGGAACCATTTTTAGGTTGATGTTATCAATTATTTCTCTTTGTCACTGTCTCCCTCCAGTGGGCACCATCCCTAATGGTGTGCTTCGAGCAGCAGAATGGCACAGTCACATGGGCAGCATGAAGGTAGATTACATACTGTTAAGATTTTTTAAATGTTTTTTTTTTTTAAATAAATCTCTTACATAAAGCTGCATTTATTCATTGAAAAAAAACTGTAAAAACAGTAATATTGTGAAATATTATTACAATTTAAAATAGCTGTTTTCTATTTTAATATATTTAAAATGAATTTTATTTCTGTGATGGCAAAGCTGCATTTTCAGCAGCCATTGCTCCAGTCTTCAGTGTCACATGATCTTTCAAAAATCATTCTGATATGCTGATTTGGAGCTCAAGAATTTTTTTTTATTATCAATGTTGAAAACGTTTGTGCTGCTTAATATTTTTGTGGTAAACATGCTCATTTTTTAATAGAAAAAAAAATTGTTCAAAAGAACAGCATTTATTTGAAATAGAAACATCATACATTTGTAACATTATAAATGTATTTATTTTCACTTTTTATCAATTTAATTTGTCCTTGCTAAAAAAATACTTATTTCTTTAAAAAAAAAATCTTATTGACCCCACAATTTTGAAGGGTAGTGTAGTTTTGTTCAGATTTTGAAAAATAAGTACATATCTTGAATTCTGACTGTGTTGGTTTCTGTCTAATTTAGCTAGCTTCTACCAAGTGACAGATTAATATTTGCAAAAAAATACCATAAAGTTGGATTGGACACACAGCTTTGAGGGAAGCGTTTTGCTAATCTAATCTAATCTTTTTTTTTTTTTTTTTTTTTTTTTTTTTTTTTGGGCATTTTGCATTTAGCTTGTTTTTTTTTTTTACTGCTCTCTGCAGTACAATCAGAACAGACCTGAAGCCCATTTTTGGTCATGACCAACTAATTTACAATAATTTATCAAATCTTAATTCCTTCTAATAATATCTGATTTTAATTTCTCTCTGATTGCTTTTCTCTCCATGTTGTAGGACTTCAGTGTGGACTTTGGCCACTGTCCCGAGATCACTGTCTACACCAGCTGCTGCCTGTTCCCACCGGCTGAAATGCTGCCCACGCTATGGGCTGAGAACAGGAAGTCTCTTCTGAGCATGCTGGTTGAGGTCAGTACGTTGTCCTCCTCTCTGCCTTTCTGTTTATCACACTCCACTGCATCTCAGCTCTTCCTTTGCTGAAGCTGGTTCCTCTGTTCTAGGTGCACAAAGGGGTTCGTGGAGTGGTCAAGGATAAGAACGGTAAGCCCATCGTGGGCGCTATAATAGTATTAAATGGTGGTGTTCGAGTCTTCACCAGTGAGGGAGGTTATTTTCACGCCCTTCTGGCCCCTGGTTTACACAACATTGAAGCGGTGGCTGACGGCTACCAGCAACAGTCCCAGAAGGTGAGTTTTGTTGTTGTTGTTGTTTTTTTTGTTTGGTTGGGTTTTTTGTTTGGGTTTCTTTTAGGTTTGTTTTTTTGTTTGTTTGTTTTTTGTTAGGTTTATTTTTGTTTTGTTTCGATTTATTTTAGTACAGAATATTTTGTTTAATCAAACTGTACAATAATATACAATGCAGTATAAAAATGAAGATAATATACTATCCTTTTTTTTTTCTTCTACATACTGTATATAATACAGAATATTGAGTTTAGTCAAAGTGTATAATAATGAATATAGTTTATTTGAAAGATAATAAAAAAAAATTATTTTATTTTTATTAAAAATTAAGTGAGATCTATTCATTTATTTATTTATTTTGCACTGTTCCATTGTGCTCTTTTCAGGTGTCTGTGTCACCGTTTGAAGCAGCAAATTCCATTATCATTCAATTTGACATGGAGAACGATATATTTGGCCTTCCAAGAGAATTGGTTGTGGCCAGCGCAGGTAGGCAGATCAAATCTCTAAAGTACTCTATATTGATTGTGTTTGCAGTTCTAACCAACCATTTTGTTAAATGCTACATTAATATGCAAATATTCAATGGCTGATCTTTTTCATTATTCAATCCCTAGCTGCTGCAATGACGGCCTTGGTTGTGACAGCCTGCATCATCTGGTGCGTCTGCTCAGCCAAGTCAAACAGACAAAAAGATGGATTCCATCGGCTACGACAGCACCGGGACGACTATGACGATGAGATCCGCCTCATGTCTATGGGCTCCAAAAAGTCTCTCCTGAGCCACGAATTTCAAGATGAGAGTGAAAGTGAGGAGGATACGCTTTACACCAACAAACTTTGAGACCTTACTGCTCCCTCTCCTCCCCCTGAGTCTGTCCACACTGCCTGCAGAGCCAGTAGAGGGCGCTCAATGGCCAGCCGCGTTATTGTCCAATCTATTGAAACCTGAGAACCACCGTGGGATGCACTTTAATGCCCTGTTGAAATCGGGCGAGCGTTTTGCACCATAGTGTATGCAACTAACCACTGCTCTCAACCAGCCTGCTTAGTTATCTGGGTCTTTATAATACCAGTCCTCTACCCTTGGAAAAGGAAACCGAACAGCTAGAATCCATCTCAACAGGATTATGAAACACTGTGCCTTGTTAGATTAGAGGTTGCATGATCGCTGCTGTTGTGAGGATGATGATTTTGTAGAGTAAATGGAATTTTGCTCCTCTTTTTTTCTGTGGGCCCGGATCAAAGTCAGGAATCAATTCATCTGAGAATCTGGTCTGCTCACTGGCTTTGAGTTTAAGTTTATGAAAAACACACTGCTGTGTTGCTTGTTATTTGCAATCATATAGCCAACGTAGTGGCCCAAATATTTCACATTTTGCAGAGTTACCCGTCCAATCTCAAATGTAGATATTTACATTAAGCAAGGTGACACATTAGATACGTAGCAGACGAACATGCTCATTCACTGCCTTCCCATTTCTCCTCTGTTATTTTGACATTCAGGGATATGGTGAAACAATAATAACTTCACACGGACATCATAGTGTTTACGCGGTGTGTCTGGATTCTTTTGTCTTAATGTGCACTCTTGAAAATGTTGTCCGTTTTGTTCATTTTAAAAAATATATATTTATTTTTGTTTTAACATCCATCCAGCGAAACATTGATTTTGCTCACCGGCTCTAAGGCATCCCAAAAAGATCAGAAAAAAACAGTGCTGTCAACTTTATTCATGTAGTTGATGTTATTTGCAATTCAGGAAACGAATTAAAAGCGTATAGTGTATATTTAGGCATCATCGTCAGATCAATATCTGCATCCTACATCTTCTCTTCCAAAAAAACCTTTAAAACATTGGTGATCATTTGAAAACATACATATAGTATATATATAAAATGGTAAAATGCATTAAAGCACCACAGTATGTTTCCTCCATGACTGGATGAGGCTTTGATTGTGTGACACATTGAGCAATCTGAAACCAGCAGAACACCTGCGAGTATTTCTTACTGTGAGCAGGCAGCTTCACTCTGTCACTGTTATGAATCAGTGAATCATTTTCTGAATCATTCTACCCTCTAAAAGTTACACGTATGATTTGGATATAGAAGATGAAGACTGGTGGGGCATTGTTCATGCTTTTAAAAGAGAAAAGCAACAAACACCCTATTAAAACTCTTAATGGAATATTCAGATTTTTATTTATAATTCATATCATTCTGTGCCAGTCTGACCATTCATACAAGTCTAATGTTAGTAAGTGGGAAAATTATGTTTCTATGATTTATTTAGTCATTGATCCTATTACCAACTAAATTGTAATTTAATTTGGCTTGATGTTGATTGTCATGCTTGAATGTAAATTTCTGGGTGTGTTTGAACAAATATGTAACTTTTCTATGTTTGTGCTGATGTTTATTTTTTTCTTTTTATACAACAATGATTGTAGATATCGAATTGTTGCCAACTATATGTAAATTACACAAGTGCAATTTCTATCAAGAGTGAGAGAACTGCACAAATAAAGCTGTGTATGTGTATTAAAGAAATGGTGTGTAATGAGATGTAAATAAAAATTCATCTTTGTTCTGAATATTTGAAGTCTTCTTTAATATGATCGTGTTTTTAATGCAGTTGAACAGTATTTTTGATGCGAGTTAGGCAGATTCTAACTCTGTCTATATATTAAAAAAAGAGGAAAGTGGGAACTCAAATCCATGGACTGAAGAATATGGATATAATATGACCAAATAGGGATTATTAAGCAGGGATGAGTATTTTTAAGATCCCAGTAGATCCTTTAAGATCCTAATAATGTATTATATATGAAAATGTTTGCATATGTATATATAAAAAAAAAAATTGTATTCATTGAAAATGTAAATTGACACTAAGGCATATTGATTGTGTGTGTGTGTGTGTGTGTGTTACATGCTAGTCATATAGCATATATTATTATTTTATATAAAATAAACTAAATATGTTTAAACTTAATGTGCTGGTATATTTGAGCTATGCTTTCACTAAAGATAAAATACAGGAAAACTTGAAGGCCAAAGGAGAGTGCATTTCTGCAGAACAGCACGTGAGGGCGCTGTGAGGTCAGAGAGCAGGGAAGTGCTCGTGCAGCGCTCGTGAAGCGCTCTTGCTCGAGTCTCCGCCTCTGCCAGCACCACCGCGGATGACGTTGAACAACAAAGATGGCAGGAGGAAACAGCAACTATATTGTATTCATTGAAAATGTAAATTGACACTAAGGCATATTGATTGTGTGTGTGTGTGTGTGTGTTACATGCTAGTCATATAGCATATATTATTATTTTATATAAAATAAACTAAATATGTTTAAACTTAATGTGCTGGTATATTTGAGCTATGCTTTCACTAAAGATAAAATACAGGAAAACTTGAAGGCCAAAGGAGAGTGCATTTCTGCTGAACAGCACGTGAGGGCGCTGTGAGGTCAGAGAGCAGGGAAGTGCTCGTGCAGCGCTCGTGAAGCGCTCTTGCTCGAGTCTCCGCCTCTGCCAGCACCACCGCGGATGACGTTGAACAACAAAGATGGCAGGAGGAAACAGCAACTATTGGGAAGGTGAGTTGGCAAAGCGTTACAAATTCAGCTCGACCAAAAGCTTTACTGCGCTTTGTGACAGCTCACGCCAATTCCTTGTTCTGAACAGTCTTTGGCGACGTTTCCATGAAAACGCTGTCAGGTTACCCCGTTAAACTATCGCCGTTAGCATTAGCTCGCTAGTTCGCACAAACGTCAGTGCTTTCGATTAGCCCAAAAACCTGAGGAATACAGCGAGACATCTTTCATATCTCTTACTTTGAACATTTGTCAGATGGCTTTCATTTTATACAGACTTTCTGTATTTAATGTAACACGAACATATATAAGCTGTGGAAAAAGTTAAGCAGCTGTTTGTATATGAAGCTGGAACAAGATTATTCACCAAACAAATAAACTAAAACTCATGGGCCGTATTTCAAAATGTAAAAAACTGCTTTCCTAGACAGTACTTGAGGGATTCATATCCACGTTATGAATGTTTGTGACTCTGTAGACTGTTGTGACAATAAATATGAACTGTCACGTTACGACCAGGTAGACTAATATGAATGTTTTGTCTTTTATAAGCATAAATAACTAACGTTACCAGCTTAAGTTGTCAGTGATATGCTGTGTATAATTTTATAACATTTTCTGATGTTATTTTGTTATCTAGTGTAAACTGTCACTAACTCTGGAGGTCTTATATTTTTGAATGTATATATCCACTGAAATGATTTACTGAATGTAATCTTTATTTTACTGCATGTTGACAGACCTGCGGAAGCAGGCGAGGCAGCTGGAGAACGAGCTGGACCTGAAGCTGGTGTCCTTCAGTAAGCTGTGCACCAGCTACAGCAGCTCTCGGGACGGCCGTAGAGGAGACAGGTGTGATGCCACTGTACCTCATCCAAGGAATTGTAATGTTTTCTAAATCTCATTAGAAAGATTATGGTGGTAATAATAATAACACCGTTCTGTTCTCTCTCTGTTCAATAGTTCGGATACAACACCTCTGCTCTCCAACTCCACCCAGGACAGAATGTTTGAGACCATGTCAGTGGAGATTGAGCAGCTGCTTGCGAAAGTAAGATCTCTGTAAAATGTGCCAATGTTAGGTGCTATATATTTTCTTTACAGTCTTCCAACCTGCTCCTCATGTATATTAAATTACGTATTTTAACTGATTTCTTGATTTTTTGATAACTGATTTCTAGAGCAGGGTATATATTGCAGTATATACAGTACCATTAAATGAAAACAAATAAGATCAATAAAAAAAGTTAATAAGTATGCAAATAAAGAAGTACACAATTTAATCTGAATGTATTTATTTTACACATTGTTAATTAGATGATTTACTAATGGTTTTGTCTCACTTTGTTTCTGTGTTTTAAAGCTTACAGGGGTGAATGACAAGATGGCTGAGTATACAAGCACACCGGGAGTAACGTCTCTGAATGCTGCTCTAATGCACACTCTCCAGAGGCACAGAGACATCCTACAGGTGAGTTTCTCATCATTTATAATTATAATATGCCCAACTATTAATATACATGAATATTAGACTACTGTTTAAAAGTTTGGGGTCAGTAAGGCATTTATTTATGTTTATTTATGCAATTATTATTTTTTTAAAGAAATTAATACTTTTATATAGCAAGAATGCATTAAATTTATTCAAAGTGGGAGTAAACAAATGCTGTTACAAACTAATTGTTTATATATATATATATATATATATATATATATATATA